ATATTCTAATAAGTATATATTCTTATCAATATTACTATTTAGAGGATTTTCCTCTTAAAATAAGAAACTCTTCTTGGCGCCTATTTTAGTATAAAATATACTCAAAGTAAATGGGATATTCTCAAGACAAGAATACAATTTTTTCGGTGCTGGTAAGTAACTATTGCGAATCTAGCAAAATGGTATAAAACTTTTTGACTCAGTTTTACTCCTTCTATTTGTTCACGAGAGATGTTACACCAATTCTGGGACACCCTGTATATCTGTTTAATAAGAATTTCTGGAGCTGTTTATATCAAACTTCATTATTTTATGAAAATGTCACACTCGATAGCGAAAATAGCATATGGCCTAGACGGAAAGTCTAGAGTGGGGGGCGTATACGACCCACGGAACGTGTTAACACAACAGCGATTGTTGAGGTCTCCGTAGAATCCGGGCGTTCTACATTAGCCGCGAGATCTGGGCTATTGGCGCGATCGTTGCGATACAACGCGAGGGTAAACGGCGTTTGGCAAATGCGATGAAATCAATCATTAAGGTGGCTATGCCGGCCAACGGGGGTTGGTCACGGGGAAACATGCCACAATTCCGCGCCACATTATTACCGCGCGCGCGCCCCAAATATATACGACGCGCACTTCCCGTTCTCCCGCATAATTTTCTTCTCCCCCACGGGTTCTCTCACGGACGGACATAATTTTCTCTGCGATTCTGTGGCCGCCGATGTAAAGCAATTACGAATGCCGGGGGTGCGGAAGGAAACGATTATTCAGACCCCCGATTAAGCTACGTCCGACGCGCGGCGCAACAATTATCGCTCCAATTTTTTTTTTTTTTTTTTTGTTCTTTTGCGCTCGCGAACACAAAATTGCGAACACGCGCGCAACTTTGACTTTTATAGTCCGCGCGATTGACAGCGGGTTATAAATTATTTTGAGCGATTTGTGCGCGCGATGTTTCAGAAAAGTGTGTATACGAAAATATTCACAGCGAAATAAAAATCATACAGGTGTCTATTACAGATACGTTGTATTCTCGGAGCGATATATAGCGCGCTTGAATTTTGGCGTCTGTTGTTCGTTCGCACGGAAAAGAAAACACAGTCAGGAAAATGGATTATATAGCGAGCGAAGCAAAAAACTACAAATTTTCTCAAGTTTTCGAGATGAGGGCGGAGCAGCTCGCGCACATAAAAAATTCTGAGGGATTAGCGGAAGAAAAATAGAACAAAATGAAGAAATTTATTATCCCGTGGTTATTATCTTTCGCGGATGAAGAATTAACTAGAATATTCTTTAACAAAATTCGGAACGGGAAAGAAAAAATAATAAGCGTCTCATCCTTCACGGGGAGATCAGAACTCACGTCCGCAAAAAAAAAAAAAAAAAAAAAAAACTCGACATTGTTTGGCAATATCACAAGCGGAATTGGCTGCTCCCACGGGAAACGTCACGGGGAGTTTCAATTTTTTTTTGTCACGTTTGTCTGTGCAGAACGCGCTCCCCGGTTTTCGCGGGATGCGCTCGGAGACCCCCCCCTCTCCCCCCCCGCGGTCTAGCCACGGTGCAAAGTGTGAACTTTGGATTACGGCTTCGTGTACATACAACGACGTGTATCGCTTCGCGATCGATCTCGCTCTCGTTGCGGGAAAAAAAACATGAAGTTAACTTCGTCAGAAGTTCACACCACGTGATATCTTCGCGTACCGACACACACAGTGGAATAAGAGCAATTAATTTTTTTTCCAAACCAATAAGTTTTTTGGAAAATAATTTGTACGTTTGTGGAAATTTCAGTTCTTGGAGAAATATCGCTCGAATTAAAATTCCGTTTTTCCGCGACAAGCTAATTACAATTAGGTGCGGATATATATATATATATATATACGTGCACACATCGTTCGCATTACTGATGCCGTTTCAAATGTTAATGTCTTCGGAACTTGAAGCCAGTCCTATAATAATGCAAATAAGATGACACAACCCTCTGAGAATTGGCGGAAACTCATTTGACTCTCTCTCCGCTTCGGCAAGAGAAGTGTTCGTGGATGTTCGCTTTTGCAGCGTCAACGACGACGTTGAAAAAAACGTTCTGGCTTGGCAACAAAAAAAGCTTCACATCAGCCGTGAAAAAAAGAAACGCGGAAATTGGATATTATTTCGCTTTTCTCAATTAAGCTTTACTTTGAAAAATAAATGACATAAAATGATTGATGCGCTCCGAGTTACAAAACATGAAGGTACCAAAGCAACGCTAATTACTCCTCAAAAAAAACAAAAAAAAAAAAGTTCAACCGAGAGAGAGTTCCCCCATGTTTTGTTCAATGGCGTTTGTTTCGTTCCGAGAAGAATGCGAATGTAAAAAAATATATAAACGCGAGAAATGGCAGGTATCGGATTTCATCGAATCGTATGTGGGCGCGTGGTGCGTTGTTTCGAATATCTAATAGAGAGATACAATATATATATACATATAACAGTATGTTTCAGTAAACATCTATTGAACACGAATAATATATATATATATATATATACATCTTTGATTTCACGAAGCTTTAGTAACATTACGCCAATTTATGCACTGAAACTGACGGCAATGGGATATTTGCTTTTGTGCGGGTTGGTTTTCATCATTCCATTTTCGCGAAACTAACCGATATATATATATATATATAATTGATAATGAAACACAATTCTCTCATTTCGCGGAGAACACTCACCCGCTACATCATCGAGCGTCGATTCTTCGCCACAGCTGATAAAATGGGGATAGAAGGATACCATAACTATACCACCGGTCTGCGCCTGTAAACAAATTATAATTTACATTTTTGTAAGCGCGATTGCTATATAAATTATATGAAGATAGAGCAAGCTCTTGATAAATTAATAAGGTTGAGCAAGGCGAATAAGAGCCAATATACTGGGTGTGGTTGTATGTATAAGTAAACTTTAATGCAAAACCAAACGTTTCAATCCTTGGTTCGGATCTTCTTCAATAGTTAACAACATAGTTTACCAAAATACACTGTACACTGGATAGAAACATACCCAATATGTTGTATGAGGTGACACGATTGTAAATAGTGATGTGCTTCAATTTCATTAACACGGCACTTTTTAACTACCATCTCTCGAGAAGACAATCGTTTGCATCACACTTCATCTGCAATATCATGTATTTTGGTAAAAACTATGTTAACCATTGAAGAAGATCTGAACCAAGGATTGAAACGTTTGGTTTTGCATTAAAGTTTACTTATACATACAACCACACCGAAAAAATTGTATTCTTGTTTTGAGGAGAGATGTCCCACTTACTTTAAGTATATTTTATACTAAAATAGGCGCCAAGAAGAGTTTCTTATTTTAAGAGTTTCTAATTTTATTGATAAGAATATATACTGATTAGAATATAAAAAGCCTCTATAGAAAAACATATATATATCTCACTATCGATAAAGACTATATTCTTAAATTAAGAATATATTCTTTATTTAAGAATATATTCTTAATTTCAGAAGAATATCATCTAAAATCTTTAAGAAGATTTTTTAAGTATAAAATCTTCTACTTACAAAAATATAATTTTTTCGGTGTACACCCAGTATATTGGCTTTTATTCGCCTTGCTCAACCTTACACCGAAAAAATTATATTCTCGTAAGTAGAAGATTTTATACTTAAAAAATCTTCTTAAAGATTTTAGATGATATTCTTCTGAAATTAAAAATATATTCTTTATTTAAGAATATATTCTTAATTTAAGAATATAGTCTTTTTTGATAGTGAGATGTATATGTTTTTCTATAGAGGCTTTTTATATTCTAATCAGTATATATTCTTATCAATATTACTATTTAGAGGATTTTCCTCTTAAAATAAGAAACTCTTCTTGGCGACTATTTTAGTATAAAATATACTTAAAGTAAGTAGGATATCCTCAAAACAAGAATACAATTTTTTCGGTGTATTAAATTATATGAAGTCCAAAAATGATATATTTTAGGATCTGCTCTACGTGCAATAATGCGCATTAGGTGCGTTTGTACGTCACTAAATACGATTATTATTTCGAAACTTTGGCGGGACTCACCAAAAGTCGCAGCGCGTGGTCAGGCACATTTCGCGAGGAATTGCAAAGAGCGTGAGCGCTGCTGTGACTAAAAATCACCGGCGCTCTCGACGTCGTCATGGCGGCCAGCATCGTTGGGACCGAGACGTGAGAAAGGTCCACCATCATCCCAAGTCGATTCATCTCGAGAACGACACTCTGAAAACTCCCATAATTCAACGTTAAGTTATTTCGACAGTCACGGTTTTTTCGCTATCCTGATAATGACATCGAGACACCGTGAATTTCAAGCCAGCTTAGACCGCTCGAACCCGATGTTTCAAGCGCTTCTTTCTCATTTATTCAATTGAAATTTTGGAGCGGTTAATCATCGGAAATTTTTTCATCATTACAATGGGGAGAATTTTTTTTACATTATTCAAAAGAAAGCGGAAAGTCCAATCGGAATTAATGCGAAAATCAAGGATTTGTTTTTTGTTTTTTTTAAATAAAAGTTTTTACAATCGCTTTTTTTTTACGATTCTGATCAAGTTCGATTTGTTTGGACAGCATCTTTTCTCGTTTATTTTTATGGTTGTTCCTGGATTAAAGTTCCGAGCCGGGATAGAAAGATAGTTACGCATCTGTCGAGTTGCTTTTTCGAATTAAATTTTGCGTTAGTGGTAGAAACGAACACAGGACTGGTTTATATTACGCGCACGTTAGGTCAGTGACACTTATTGCGCGAACCCGGATTGAACTTCAGAGCGAATTCTTTCTGGGGCTGCGCGACCTCGCGCGGAGAATGCCAATGCGCGAGGGCCAGTCGCCCGTAGAACAGATCGAAATGTCGGGCTTTCTAACGTTACATCCGCCGATGCTTTAATGGCAACGATCAAAGATTTACGCAGACACGAGTAGTTTATTACCGAACGTGACGCGATATTTTAGAACCGATTGAACAGCTTTTTAGCGAAATAGCTTTGAAATCTCGATATATATTAATATCGATTTTAATAACAATTAATCTCTGTTGATTAAACAAATCTGAAAATTAAACACGTTCTTGTGAAACAATTATATATAAAATGTGTCTTTTACAATTATAGTAAATTTGATTAATAAATGAAATTTCAAACTTGAAGAGTTAATAAATAAAAGAGTTAATAATTAAAATTTTAAATCAAAGTTGAAAGAGAGAAAGGGATCAATAGTTGAAAGCAACAATTTTATGTACAACCTTGCTATAAAATATTTATATTAAATTTTTATCAGCGACTGATTGAAACTTGCTGAATTATCGACACGGAAGTCAACCTTGTTAGGAGCCAAGTTGTCGCACGAGACTTCCAATTTCTCTCCCTCTCGCGGGAGAGAACGTTATCCCCAGTAAACGGGAATGCTTTGTTAAGCTGGCAACGTGATAAACTGAATGTCTTAGGATTCCTCCTCAGTTTTCTCATTCCCCACAGCTTCGCCATAGTGTGTCTCCTCTTTTTTTTATTTTTTTTTTCTCACTCACGTCGTGACGGATTCTTAGCGTGACTTCCTCGTCTCGTTTTCATTGTGGATGATACTTCAGACGCGAAGGGGAAAACCGAACGAAAAGAAAGACCGCACACATGGAGTATTCTCGAAGCGGTTGGGGGAGGGGGGGGGTTGACAAAGAAATAAGAGAAACTTCAACGTGTTCTGATTGAATCTTGATTGATTGATGACAAATGAAACTTGACAGTAAAAATATTAAAACAATTACATTGTTCAAAACAATTTTGCTTCAATTTTTTGCCTAATGAACGCGGGTTTACTTTTCTCTGACGACAATTCATTCCTTTTGTGATCTCCCCTATATATATATATCCCCCGTGTATGTATACAGATATTTATTTTTGAATAAAACCACTATGTGATATACACACTTCTGTATTTACGGCTGGAGAATAAATTTTCAAGAGTCGGTGAAAGCTCGCGAAAAATCTCACAAAATAGTAGAAAGAGAGGAACGCGGTTGGGATTGGATACGTGCGAGTGACACGCGATAGGACGGTTTTGTTGGTCGAAAGAGTTCTGATGAAAAGGGGAGAAGGAGAGTCGAGAGAGAGAGAGAGAGAGATGCGTAAGCCAGACTCAAGCGATTCTTTTCCATTATTCAAGCAATTTATTTTCTGAAAGGGCGTTCCTTCGTATTTGCGATCTAGCTAGACTTTTCACTTTCCTATTTTTTTTAGGAAACGATAAACTTTAATGAAATCCGAGCTAACGAGAGACGACTGAAACGGGGCACGTTATTATTTTTGTTATTTACAGTTTCTGTCTTATTTTATTTTGCGCTCGAAGCAAATATATGTTAGTTTTTTTTATTTTGTTACATCAAATTTATATATATATATATATATAATATATATAATATATAATATATAATATAATATATAGTATATAAAATATATAATATATAATATAATATATAATATAATATATAATATATAATATATATAATATAATATATATAATATATATATATATATATAATATATATATGATATAATAACAACATTTTTATCCAAGTGTAAAGAAATGTAATTGCGCATTGAGGAACAAAAAATCATCGTGACTGGGATGTCTTTTTCTTATATATATATAAATATTTTGATTGATGAAAACTCTCTCTGGCGGAAGTTTCTTTTCAAAAGAAACACGTCACGCTCTAACGCACGTACGAGTTTACACAAGCCCCGAACACATTCATAGTAAATTTATTTCTTTCGGAGAATGACGACATATATTTTTTCCCGTTATTGGAAGAATTTACTCCCCCGAGGATCGCCGCGTGGTATGTTAAGGTGGCGCAACATACGCGGTGGTATGGCTGGTACGACCTATCGGACCGACAGGATGACGAATAAGCTTCATTCTCCCACGAGTCCTTTTGAAAGGTATCCACACGTATCATAGATACGTTCTTCCCATTCATTGCTCCCTCAGGTATTTTTCAGAAGCGAAAACCTGAGGGAGGAAGGGGTTTATTCATTCTCTCTTGATCTTCTTGTCTATAATCTTTTTCCCGACCGCGACTTTTGAGCTCGCCCCTTCCGGACAGGAAGAAACTAATATTCTTCGAACACATAAGAGTATCGCGGAAGAGGATAAGAATTTTATCTTCGAGAAAAAAACAGAACGATCGAGCCGACCATTCGCCGTCTCGAATCAATCTAAGCGTTTTCTCGATCATGCAACTCCGTGGGAGCGAGCAAAGACGGCTCGGAAACGTTATACAGATCTAGCATGTGCTCGTTCGGGAGTTAAATCAAACTCAATTTGCAACATCGTTTAATTTTATTTGATTTGTTCAGTTTGCAACATCGTTCAATAAAAACGAAAGAAAACGGTTCGCGCGGAACAAAATTGCTCTCGCACGATTGTTGCATTTACAACGGACTATTTTCAATTTATTTTTCTCTTTGATCAAAGAAACAAAAAAGTCCTATAACACACGACACGCAATAATTTATTGTTACATTAATACGTCGGTTTATATTGTTGAGAACCCGAGTCGAAATTTAGCGCCTACATTGAACCTCAATTCTTCTTTTTTTATGTAGGAGTAAGAGAGAAAGTAGATCCTACTTTGACGCTGCTATACGTCCGAATTTTCCTTTTTTCCTGCTAAAGTTTTAAAGTAGGATTCAATTCTCAGATCAGACTGCGCATTGCAGGCTCTGATAGGCTCAAAGTAGGAGTAAGAAAAAAGTAGATGCTACTTCGACGCTGCTATACGTCCGAAATTTCCTTTTTTCCTGCTAAAGTTTTACAGTAGGATTCGATTCTCAGATCAGACTGCGCATTGCAGGCTCTGATAGGTTCAAAATAGGTTCTGATAGGCTCAAAGTAGGAGTAAGAAAAAAAGTAGATGCTACTTTGACGCTGCTGTACGTCCGAATTTTCCTTTTTTTCCGCTAAAGTTTTAAAGTAAGACTCAATTCTCAGGTCAGACTGCGCATTGCAGGCTCTGATAGGCTCAAAATAGGCTCTGATAGGTTCAAAATAGGCTCTGATAGGCTCAAAGTAGGAGTGAGAAAAAAGTAGATGCTACTTTGACGCTGCTATACGTCCGAAATTTCCTTTTTTCCCGCTAAAGTTTTAAAGTAAGACTCAATTCTCAGATCAAACTGCGCATTGCAGGCTCTGATAGGCTCAAAATAGGCTCTGATAGGCTCAAAGTAGGAGTCAGAAAAAAAGTAGATGCTACTTTGACGCTGCTATACGTCCGAAAGTTCCTTTTTTCCCGCTAAAGTTTTAAAGTAAGACTCAATTCTCAGATCAGACTGCGCATTGCAAGCTCTGATAGGTTCAAAATAGGCTCTGATAGGCTCAAAGTAGGAGTAAGAAAAAAAGTAGATGCTACTTTGACGCTGCTATGACGTCCGAAATTTTCTTTTTTCAAAAATTGAGGTTCAATGTAGACGCTAAATTTCGACTCGGGAAGTTGCGAGAGTTGTTGTATTTGCTTCGGAGTCGCAATCAAACCGCTTAACCCTATATTCTCCGGTGTAGCGGCCAAAATTGAACTCTCTCTCTCCGAAATTATACCGACTTCCAATCCCTGAGGTATCGCGACGTCGCTCGCCAAGGATGCATTTTCCACTCGAAAGATTTTGCTCAATCGAAAGGGAACTGAAGCTAAATCTCCGACAAGATTTCATTTTGGTTTTGTCCGCGAAGACAGAAAGAATCGCCGGGGGGGGGGAACAGCGAGAGCGTTTCGCCTTTGGTCGCATAGGAAATTGCGCGGTTTCGAAATGTGTCGAAAGTTTTTCCATAGAACGACGACATTCCATAGGACACTGTGGGACGGCAAGTCGAGCGGGAAAACGAACGCGCGAGCGCGTTCTGTTCTTTGTTCGGTCCCTTCGCGTATATATATGCTCGAGAAAACGCTTTGATTGATTCAAGTTGACGAATCTCTGACCCGGTTATTCCCGTGTTTTTCTCGGGAGTCTAAAACTTCTACGCGCGCGACATTCCCGCATTTCGCCCGTCAACCGCAACCGTTATCGTACACACAACTTTCACACAGCTTGCGAAACTCGTCCTCGCTCTGCGACTATTTAGATGCCAACTCCTCGAGAGAGAACAAGCTCTCTCTCTCTTTCTCTCTCTCTCTCTCTCGCAGTTCTGGCTTCAAAAGGGCGGCCGGTCAACCATTTCCCTCTCCTCGTCGC